CGACCCCCGCTGCTGCGGACGACACCCCTGTCGTCACGGTCAGGTCGGCGGATGGCGTCATCGCGGCCGAGCGATGTTAGAGTCTTACAGTGTCTGGGTCAGCGGCCATCGTCACTCACAGGGACACACTACACAGTCTGGTTCGGGTCACTGAGAAATACGCAGGCAGGATCAGAGATGACTGCTAGTGGCAGGAGCAGTAAAGCACTTATCTTTTTATCTTTGCATCGTTTTATTACTCTTAGATGGTCTGTAGCCAAGAGCCTATCTATGTAGTTATACTTGAGAATAGCAGTGAATTGAGAGTAGCAGTATCAGCAGTGATGCTGCCGTTTAATGACATTTGCTTTTTATTGCTTGTGATCTTTGTTTCCAGGTCAGTGCGATGTTCTGTGGGTCAGAATCTATTTGGGATAAGATGAATCTCACCCAAGGATAACTATGATTTCCTCTTGGCCGGTGGGACCCCTTGCATCTTGATTACGAGTTGAGTACGATTACGATGGAATGGCCTACCATTGCAGCATTTGAGAACAGTGACCAGGGTGGTCCTTATTTCATAAAATCAGTGACAAGGAGATAGAGATAACTAGGAGAATCAGGTGACCAGGGATGACTAGCACCACTGACCAGTGACCGATCTGCGGCTGCATGACAATCTGTGAACACCACTAAGGTGGTCCCGCCGTACCTCGCTCCGGCGCGCGGGGGCGGTCTGGCGTCCAGTATTGTTCGCAGTTTCGTAACGCTCCCGCCGGGAGGGGAGTGTCTGGCCAGCCGGCGCTGCCCGGTTCGGGGAAGGTCACGGGGAGGAACCGCCCTGAAGCAGTGTCCACACCGGCTAACCGGTAATCTCCTCATGTATCTAGAGCAAGTCGGCCACATTAGCCGTACTTGGGCGTGCTGGCTGCGTTGGATGAGAGGTGTTAACAGATTTTCCTGGTTTGAGGTTTCGCTTGCGGCGGATTAGTGAAATGTGACCAGACTGTAAACGGCTTGGATGCTATCTTTAACCGGTAGATAAGATCGCTAAACAGGTCTGATACCGTGCTGCATTGATTCATTTAGAATTTGAGTAACGCATGTTACAAATGAACCCATTTTTATTCATTCAGGGTAATAGAGTTGCAGAGCTACTGAGCAGCTCCATCAGAGCAGCTCCATACATCAGGTGTCGAGCTTGGCTAATAATTCAGCGCAAGAAATTTCTTTTCAATCTGAGTACGCTGTAAAGGTATAAGGCAAGTTTTGGCTACAATTATGCGGTGGTTTTTCATTGTAGGCGGATTCACTGACATATTTGAACCAGGAAAGATCGCCTAGACATTAACGACTTGCAAAAGTGTGAAGGGGCTCTAAAACACCTATGGTTTTAAGATTAGTCTACGTTTTACGTTTTTGTGTTTTGATATTATTACGGCTTTGGCACAGTTGTTGACTCGTTGTTTTTCGATCGGAACACATCAAGGCGGGGGCAGGTGAAGGGGCGTTTTTTACGACCCTTTCTAGCTTGACTCATGTGCCACGTTGAAGCACGCAGTAAACGGCATTCGAGAAGGCTCTAAAAAAATCATTGCGTCGTTTATTAGCTTAGATCAACGGTCAGCCCAACAGTGGCCGTCAAAGGTCACATTCTCACGTCTGTCAAGACAGCCTCAGATTCAGATTCACTTTCAGAATCACATTCGGACCCCCTTAGATTTTCATAAAAACTGGTCCATGGGTACAGTTTTGGACGCTGATTCCAATGGTGAAGTCTGTTTTTCGCCACATATTATACTTTGGCCCCTAGAGGCATTCAAAGTTTTTTTGGGGCGAAGGGGGACCCCCTTAGATTTTCATAAAAACTTGTCCATGTGTATAGTTTTGGACGCTGATTCCAACGGTGAAGTCTGTTTTTCGCCACATATTATACTTTGGCCCCTAGAGGCATTCAAAGTTTTTTTGGGGAAGGGGACCCCCTTAGATTTTCATAAAAACTGGTCCATGTGTACAGTTTTGGACGCTGATTCCAATGGTGAGGTCTGTTTTTCGCCACATATTATACTTTGGCCCCTAGAGGCATTCAAAGTTTTTGGGGGCGAAGGGGGACCCCCTTAGATTTTCATAAAAACTGGTCCATGGGTACAGTTTTGGACGCTGATTCCAATGGTGAAGTCTGTTTTTCGCCACATATTATACTTTGGCCCCTAGAGGCATTCAAAGTTTTTTTGGGGGAAGGGGGACCCCCTTAGATTTTCATAAAAACTGGTCCATGTATACAGTTTTGGACGCTGATTCCAATGGTGAAGTCTGTTTTTCGCCACATATTATACTTTGGCCCCTAGAGGCATTCAAAGTTTTTTTGGGGCGAAGGGGGACCCCCTTAGATTTTCATAAAAATTGGTCCATGGGTACAGTTTTGGACGCTGATTCCAATGGTGAAGTCTGTTTTTCGCCACATATTATACTTTGGCCCCTAGAGGCATTCAAAGTTTTTTTGTAGCGAAGGGGGACCCCCTTAGATTTTCATAAAAACTGGTCCATGGCTACAGTTTTGGACGCTGATTCCAACGGTGAAGTCTGTTTTTCGCCACATATTATACTTTGGCCCCTAGAGGCATTCAAAGTTTTTTGGGGAAGGGGGACCCCCTTAGATTTTCATTAAAACTGGTCCATGTGTACAGTTTTGGACGCTGATTCCAATGGTGAAGTCTGTTTTTCGCCACATATTATACTTTGGCCCCTAGAGGCATTCAAAGTTTTTGAATGCCTCTAGGGGCCAAAGTATAAATGTGGCGAAAAACAGACTTCACCATTGGAATCAGCGTCCAAAACTGTACACATGGACCAGTTTTAATGAAAATCTAAGGGGGTCCCCCTTCGCCCAAAAAAAACTTTGAATGCCTCTAGGGGCCAAAGTATAATATGTGGCGAAAAACAGACTTCACCATTGGAATCAGCGTCAAAAACTGTAACCATGGACCAGTTTTTATGAAAATCTAAGTGGGTCCCCCTTCGCCCCAAAAAACTTTGAATGCCTCTAGGGGCCAAAGTATAATATGTGGCGAAAAACAGACTTCACCATTGGAATCAGCGTCCAAAACTGTACACATGGACCAGTTTTTATGAAAATCTAAGGGGGTCCCCCTTCGCCCAAAAAAAACTTTGAATGCCTCTAGGGGCCAAAGTATAATATGTGGCGAAAAACAGACTTCACCATTGGAATCAGCGTCCAAAACTGTACACATGGACCAGTTTTTATGAAAATCTAAGGGGTCCCCCTTCTCCCAAAAAACTTTGAATGCCTCTAGGGGCCAAAGCATAATATGTGGCGAAAAACAGACTTCACCGTTTGAATCAGCGTCCAAAACTGTACCCATGGACCAGTTTTTATGAAAATCTAAGGGGGTCCCCTTTCGCCCAAAAAAAACTTTGAATGCCTCTAGGGGCCAAAGTATAATATGTGGCGAAAAACAGACTTCACCATTGGAATCAGCGTCCAAAACTGTACACATGGACCAGTTTTTATGAAAATCTAAGGGGGTCCGAATGTGATTCTGAAAGTGAATCTGAATCTGAGGCTGTCTTGACAGACGTCACATTCTCCCTATTTTGAACTTATTTGACAAACCAGCGCATAGCTTCTTAGCTCATAGAGCTGGAACATCGGGGAAAAGGCACACTATATCCTTTCTCGCATTTCAAATTGGCACACGAGAACCCTTCGAATGCCTTTTTAGGTCAATATGAGCAAGCAACGTGCCTCCGCTGTGCTTTGAGCACGTTAAGTATGCCTTGGAGCGTAAAGTATGGTGAGCTAGACTCTTCAAAAGATTTATGCTACTCCAATGCTCTCCAATGTTTCTCGCAAGACTGAAAATAAAAAGCACGTTTTAATTACCTTCCATTCCAACATATCAATTATGCAATAATGTAGATGAGACTTAGAGCTTATGTCAGTCCATTCAATCGGTGGGAAAGGTACAATCGCAATTGGGGTTTTCGTAACAAATTAACGTGCCGAGGAATTTGTTCGTGATTTGATAATATCCACAGAGATGGTATATTTCAGTCTAAGCACAAGACCACGGAGCAAAAACCGAGATGTTTCTTCAGATGTAAATCCTAAGAGAAAAAAAGGGTTTGCACAATTATGAAAAGTGTAGTAATTAGGTGCATACCTACCTGCTGGTTACAAAACCGATGAAATGCTGCAAAGAAGTGCACCACACCACTAAATGGCATGTGGGTGGTTCATTCAAAGTGCCCAGCTCAGGTAACATCGAGAATGCTGCATTGGCGATCGGCATGGTTTAGGAGTCACGATCGACTTTCAAAACAAACTGGATTTCAGAAACTGTAGCTCATATCGCAGAAACACTACGAATGGGTGTCGGCTTTTGAGTCCGTTGATGAAATGTTTCACCCGCTCGGTGGGGATCTAAGCCAACATTGTCATGGTGGGGTGGGTGGGGTGGAAGAGGGTTATTACCATAGGTATTTGCCACAGGTCATTCAAGAGGGCGCCGGTGGCTCTTGCTGGGCTCCATCGAATCATCGATCTTGGGGACTCGGAATATTCTGGTCTCTGGAGGGGCGCCTTTAAACGTTGGGGGGGGGGGGGCTCAAGTCTTCATTGGGGGGGGGGGGGGAGGCTGGAGGACATTGGGGGAGGGGCCGGGCCCCCCAAGGAGATATAAAGTTCCACCCCTGCTAATGTCAAAGGTGTAAAAAGCCAGTCAGCATTCATACAGCAGGTCCCCTTCGGCCATTTTTGATCGAAAACGCTGCTTACGGAAAAATTGCAGAAAATCAGACTGCCAATCTTCAGACCGTATCTTCAACCGTAGGTACACAAAAGCATGGCAAACACAATGGCAATCTGGATATTTCCAAAATATAAATAAAATGTCAAGATCTAGAGATTTTCTAACACAAAGCCTCTGCTGGCTTCTTCAGTACTCTTTAGAAAACATGGCCGCCTGACCTTGTCCGTGTAAAAGTGTAGTGTCTCGCGGGAGGGTCGGATGGACGAGGCTCGCCAAATGTCGACTAACCAGTCGTGACCGGTATATAAGACCGGCTGACCGGTGCAGTGGACATCATTCAACCACTGCAGCTCGCAGAGTACACATCCTCTCAACAGCCAACATGAAGCTGGTGAGTAAAAATGACATTGTTTTTCTGTTGTGGATGAATAGCAGTTGGAAAAGTTTTGACGTTTTGCAAGCATTATCAATACTATTTTCATTTGCTTTCTAATTTAGTTACCCCTTCATTAGCCAGTTCATTTACTTTGTTTTGCTTGCATGTTTCTTGCATAAAAAAATGTTCGCTTCAATTTACCTGCTTGGTTACCTGCTTGGGAATATAATACGGTGTTTTAGTTTCATTGGTGCCTCTCAAATGTGGCATATTGATGTTTGGAATGGGATTTTAAATTTCTGCCATATTATTGATCATTTTCTTTTTAATTTTACATGTTTATCAATGTAAAAACTACCATGCAAAAGTTAAAACTAATATGATGAATATCCCGAAGATATATCGCTTTGAATACAATGAAAGTATGAAAGGACATGTTTATTAGTGGATTGCGCTTGGAACGGAAAGTGTAGTCATACGGTAATATTTTTTCAGCTTCTGATTGCCGCCGTTGTGGCCGTGGCCGCTGCCGACCGGCCTGCCCCGAGGGCCTACTCTGCCCCGGCCCCGCCGTCCTACTCTGCCCCTGCTCCCCCGCAGTACGGACAGAAGGTCCCCCAGATCCTCTCTCAGCAGTATGACCTCAGCGACGACCAGTCCTACGACTCCAGGTGAGTAAAAAATTAGTTTTATATTGCATGCATTATTTGGAGTTAATGTCGAACTGAAAGGTTACTCTTTCAGGTGCGTTACGACTTACGAGGCGTATCACTGTAAACTTGTCCTTCATTAAAATTGAATGAAGCGTGTGATATGCTTCTATTTTTGCGATGCAACATAAAATGGCATCGGTACTAGCTTAAAAATACTGCGAATGAAAATTTTAACGATATCTTTCCCACAGCTTCGAGACTGAGAACGGCATCTCTGCCTCCGAGTCTGGCAAGCCCGTGGCCGGCTACGGCAGCGAGCCCAGCTACGCTGTCCAGGGACAGTACAGCTACACCGACGACTACGGCAACACCTACACCGTCACCTACACGGCCGACGCCAACGGCTTCCAGCCGCAGGGTGCCCATTTCCCGACGCCCGTGCCCACCGAGTACCCGACCCCGCAGGTGCCGGTGACCCAGGCCAGCTACCAGGCGGCCCCCGCCCCTAGCTACCAGGCGGCCCCCGTCCAGCCCCAGCCCCAGTACCAGGCCTACCAGCCCAGCTACCAGTAATTTAGCTAATCGTATTTATTCATCATCTTCACCGCATTCTAAGCCCGAAGAATACGCTTATGAGTCCATGTATTTATTGTGATATTGTTGTAATTCGTACATGAAGTTCCAGTGTTTGTCCCATGTCCACACAATACATGTGAACTGCAATGAACTGTTTTGAACTGAGACGGGAAACAATCATTGAGATGAAGAATGAGGGGATGTGTTGCTTTGAAGCTCATTACGAGCAAACGCGAAGCACGAAGCGAGTTCTTAAACGGAGAATAATAAAAACGCCACCAAAAAGAAAAAAAACGCAAACGAACCGTTCCAGGGTCTGCTGGGATACATATTTGCCTCTTCAAGGTGTGCGTGTCAGACAGCAACTCAGAAATCAGCGACTTAAAAACAGCGACAGAAAAACTGTGACTCACTCAAAACAGCAATCCCATTTTGAGCGACCTCTGGAACAGCGACTCGCACGGTTGGGCGATTATCTAAAACGGTGATCCGTTATAGAGCGACTTCAGATGAACAGCGGCTATTCTAAGCTATAGGGAGATTGGGAAAGCAAAAATTGACGATTCCTTGCAATGCAAATTTTATGTAAAATCCACTCGTTTCGCGGAACACGACATTGTAAAACACTCTTAGATATCCCATTCCCGGTGCAATCAGGTGGAAACTAAGCAATTAATTTGTCCTGAAAAATCAATGATGTCACCGAAAAATCGCTTATTATTATCGAAACGAATGAACGACTGAGTTGAAATGAACCGTTAAGCATGTTTCGAAATATATTTGTGTTATCTGTGATATTTCAGTTAATAATAATGCGAAACGAGTGCATTTTACATAAAAATATGCTTCGCAAGAAATCTGCTTTTCCAATCACCGTTGGCTTAGAATAGTCGCTGTTCCTGTGAAGTCGCTCTATTACGGATCGCCGTTTCAAACAATCGCTCAAGCGTGTGAGTCGCTGTTCCAGAGGTCGCTCTGAACGCGGTCCATGAACTTTGAATGAGTCGCTGTTTTTCTGTCACTGTTTTCTGTCGCTGTTTTCGTGTTTTCTGAGAAAACAGAAAACAGATCGCTGTTTTCTGAGTCGCTGTTGGAGATGTCAGCCCTCTTCAAAGCTTGACCACGACATTCGTGCTCAGAATTATTCTGAACACGAACGTCGTGGTCAAGCTTTATACCTAACTATATGGATCCCAGCAGACACTGGAACGGTTTGTTTGTGTTTATTTCTTTTTTTTTGCGTAGCGTTTTTCCTTTCCAACAAGCATTGTCCTGTTCCTCATAATTGTTGGTGGTACCCCCACTGCACTGCATAATTGTTGGTACCCCCAATGATAAACAAGTGCCAGTTTGGTTGGTGCCATTGTAACAACTCGGAAATTGCTGGATCAATTTCGCGACAGAAGAAAAAGGACTGGTACAGTACCTATTGTGCCCAGCACATCTTTGGATCCTGGTGATGACCTGATCATGGCAAAACTATGGCATGCTAGAAAAGAAGACATCTCATTATTGAATTGACACTTAGCTCAATTTCATTTGCCGACATTAGGCAAGTAAGTACCTAATGTCTAGGTGTTTATATGTTATACGATATATGTATGTAAGATATTTTTGTTAATCTTTGTTGCCCACATTTATTTTACCCGTTGTGAAGGTTTACGCTTATAATTGACAAATGGGAAATTAGTATTATTCCGGTAAAGCAATGCTGTTTTGGTGATTTGTGCTGTCGGTAACGAAGCGATAGTATTCAACGCCATTATTGAAACTCGGCTCTCTAGTAGCCGTGCAGGGACCAGCATCGGGGCCCACATCGGGGCCCGCAGGGGCCGGTAGGGAATCGCAGAGGACGGCATGAGACGCCTAAAGTTCAGTACCTATTGGGCCACAGAAGCCAAAACGGGCCCTCAGAGTCCGATGTTGGACCCCCCAGAGACCGGCGTTGGACGGCACTATAGGCCAGCGGAGGGCCGTCAAAGGCCAGTATGGACCCTCAGAGGCCGACGATGGCCTTCAGAGGCCGGCATTATAGGCCCTCAGGCCAGTGCGGGACACCCAAAGGTCAGTCTTTGGTCCTGGAGACCAAAATGGCGCCATCAGAGGCTGGTGTGAGTTCCTCAAAGGTGGATTTGGGCCCTCAGAGGCCAGCTTGGGACCCTGAGAGGCCAGTTTGGGGGCCTTAACCCTCGCCGGCCGAGGGGGGGGGGCGGGTGCCGCCCCCCCCATAGGGTTTTTTCGCGATAGCTCCGAACACGTTGGCGATAGAGAGCTGAAACTTGGCATACCTGACCTTTGATCCAAGCCGCATCTTTTGACACCAACCGCATTTTTGGGTCAGGTCAGGTCACTGACCTATGACGTCATAAGTGAACCTCTGCACGGTCTTCAGATGTCGCAACTTCGCAACGCCCTCACTGCCAGAGGAGATGTCACAGGGAAATGAAACTTGCAGGATCTAGTATCCATTATGAGTCCCACAACTTGTATATCTCGGATTTTTCCTAAAGGTCATATGAGGTCAGGTCATTTTCGTGACCTCACCATTATAAGTCAATGGGGGAAAAATGAAAACTGCTATGCTGGCGCCGGGAACGATCTCCAACTATCTCAAGCACACAGAATCGTGATTTTATGCACTCCTTGCAAGGTTAGATGCGTCACTTTTGCAATGTTGACCTTGCGTGACGTCATTTATGACGTCATCAAGGTCATATTAGTTTTTCGTCAATAACTCTTGATCAGATTGAGCTAGCGAGTCGGGAAAGCCACCAATGGACTCAGGAAGACGTGCCGAATCGAATGATATGCGACATGACCCCTTTCGACCAACTTCGTGACCTGGGGGTGCTGACCTGACCTTGACCTGAGGTCAACACCCCAAGTTGACCTGACCCGGACAAAAAGTAGATCATTCGACGCGCCTGAGCGAGACGAACACGATGCTGCCAAAATCGGCGCTCTGCGGCCGTTTTTTGCGAAGTTATTCACCAAAAATTGAACCGTACCTTGGGGCACTTGACCTGACCTCAGAGGTCACCGGTTGACCTAGGACCTTAAAATCGGGTACCAATCTCTGCGTCTCGTAACGGCGCACACGCTCGTTTTTTCCGCGACGCGCTAGCTCCACCAGGGGCGAAACGGCGAGGGGGGGTCGTACCCGCCCCCCCCCCCCCTCGGCCGGCGCGTATGTAGAAAACCAATAGGTCCGGCGAGGGTTAACCCGCGCACCGACGGGGGTCTGCGCCAACTTAGAACCGACGGGGGGGGGGCGATTGACCGCCCCCCTGAGATCTCGAGAATGAAGCAAGATAGAGACAAGCGGTAAACGGCATGGGGTACGCACGGACGTCTACAATTTTTTACCCAGTTCAATTTCAGGACAGGTCAAAGATGACGTCACAGGGGTAAAAAAGTCAAAATGGCGGCGCTAGATATGAGGAGAGTTTTCCTCGAATAACTTTTGAAGTGGCCAAGCTAGGAACAAACTAAAGGGACTATCGTGATCCTCTTGTCAATCCCACATCGACTGATATACATATGTGTGGAGGTTGACCTCAAAAAGGTCAAGGTCAAAGGTTGACCTCAGGTCAGCTGACCTCAAGGATCATGTATATCATTCGATGCGCCCTGACGAGCTGGACACGATGAGACCATCCGCGTGACTGTATCTTGTTCCTGTGAAGAGTTATTAGCAAAAACCCTTTGGTGACCTTTGATGACGTCACATGACCTTACAGTTTCCCAAGAGCAAAAAAGGCCTCAAGGTAGTCAAGGTAATCACGGTTGATCGTATATAAGGTCATTCATGGCATATTGGGCCATTCCGACGCGTTTTAGTGGAAAATAAACAGGGAGTTGATTTTCCCCCTTTGACTTATAATGGGGAGGTAAATTGACCTGACCTTAGGTCATCGATATCAAAATTCCGAGATACACAAATTGTATATAGGTACTAATAAACTCGTTACATCCTGTGACTTTTAAAGGGTTCCGTCATCTACTGTAGATCTGACGCGGTGACAAATTTGCAAAAAAAGTGATTAGTGGTTGGGCCATTCGAAGTAACCTGGTGACCTGACCTTGAAAGTTAGGAGGTTCAATCTTGCACACCATGTGTCAAATTGTTGAAGAAAAAGTCATGCAAAATTTCACGGCGCTACGAGCCGTGGTTTTTGCGCTATTCACGAAAAAAAGCTCAGGGTAGGGGGCATTCAACGGCCCCCCCTCCCCAGTCGGTGCGCGGGTTAAAGCGCAGTGTGAAATCCTCAAAGGTCGAATTGGGCCCTCAAAGGCCAATGTAAGCCCTCACAGGTCAGCGTGGGGCCCTCAGAGGCAGGGACCAGTGCGATTCACGCAAAGATGGGGTAGACCACATTGGTCCAATTTCACCCAAAGGTGATGGCCCCATTTTTGGTCTTTAGCCCCCTCCCTTTGAGCGAAGCCACCAGAGGCCAGTTTGGGGCCCTCAGCGGTCTGTGAGGCCGTCAAAGACCGGCATGGGCCATAATTGACCTGTGTGGAGCCACTGCAGTCCGAGTGGGGCTCTTGAATTTCAGCATGGGGCCACGTCGATGCTCGATAGCGACTAGTGATGTCAATTACGGAAAATCGGAATACCGATACCAAACCAAATACCAACCAAAACCATGGGGAAATACCGAAACCAAACCAACTTGAGAAAATGAGGGCAATACCAACTTTTTGCCGATTTCTTGGCCTCTTATACATTAGTGAGGGTTCATGATAACAAAATACCAAACACATTACGATTGAAATACCAAATACCAAGTTGGTATCGGTTTGGTATCGGTATACCAAAAAGGTGGTATCCGATTGACATATCTAATAGCGACCCTCAAAGGACGGTATGAGACACCCAGGGGTCAGTCCTGGGCCGAGAGACCGAAATGGAGCCCCAAAAAACTGGTGTTAGACCCCCAGAGACCGGCGTTGGACCTCACAATAAAACGGAAGGCCCTCAAGGGTCATTGTGGAACCCGCTGAAGTCGGTATGGGCTCTCAGAGGATGGTATTGGACCTTCAGGTAAGTGCAGGGCGCTCAGAAGCCAGTGTAGGGCCCTCAGAAGTCAGTGTGGAGCCCTCAAAGAGCAGTATGTGGGCCAGAAAAGCCGGTAAGGGGTTTTGAGC